GCATGGTATGGTGGGAAAACTTTGAGCCCCATGAGATGTGGGGCTTGGGCCCAGCTGTGGCGCTTAAAACAGTTGTGGAAACTTGAGCTAATACTAATAGGTTCTAAGCCTGTTTCTCCCTCTATCTGAAGAGAATAATAGTGTTTACCTTGTTGCTAAGTGTGAGGATTAGCTGTTATAGCTGTAAAATGTCCGGCACACAGTAGGTACTCAGTAAATGGTGCCTGAGGTTATCCCAGAAACTTACTCATATGAAATTATTCATTGGAACATTCTGAGACAATCCTTTGGGTTCAGATAATCAGCTAGCTTCAGAATAAAGGGCAAGTTGTATTGATTTTATCTTAGTATTTTCCTTGAAGCCCATTAAAATTTAAGTTTTTGTAACTCAATAAATGTATATAGAATTATTTAATATGTCTTTTAGAAGGCATGCATTTTGGCCAAAGATTATAATTCTAGCTGCCTGTGCCATGATTGCTTTTTGAACACAAGAAGTTTCTTGATGCAGTTGACTAAAAACAGAAAAATAATCAGCCAGGTTGTACCTCTGGATAAATTACTGTGAGACTGAGTCTGTTTAGAAACTAGACTGATACGAATTAGGAATTTGTACTCAATGGCTGAGATTTATGTGCTATCAGAACTATGGCCAAGTCTGGCCAAATTTTAGAGTTTTTCTTAATAGTTACAAAATCTTCTAGAAAGGTCCAGTGTTAGATCTATCTGGAGACTGCTGCAAACAAACAGCTCTTTAGTTCTTGGTAAGAACAGAATATTGGGCCAGATTTCTGGCCCTTAAGAAATGGGGAGTCTGATTCCATTTGGCTGAAAGTTTAATCTGGTGTAGAATTTTAGCCAGATTTTTTAAAGAAATATTTGTTAAACTATATTCACAAAATAATGCAAAAATGATACCCACTTAGTCTTTTCTATTAATAGTCCTTTAACTACTCTGTAAATATTTCTTGTGCTGTTTTCGGTGGCATCTAGGAACCACTTGACCTTTTAGTTCTATTTGTGGCCATCAGCTCTTGTGTAGAATTGGGGAAAATTTGTCTTAATCTGCTGTTAATTTAAATTGCAGGCAGAAAAGTAGTAAGTGCTTATTTTCTAACCAACTATTAACAGTGACATCCTGTTCTGCGAATTATTGTTAGCTTACCTTTTAGAATATGGCACCTTCTGTAATGTGCAAAACACTCTTTATTCAACATGAGGTACTTCATTAGGACAGAAAGAAAGAGCAAAAAACTTAGACCGTGAAGACACTGTAATCTAAGAGAATGGTTTCCTGAGGCAGGCTGAAAGAAGCCTTCAGCTTGGCAAAACACTGCCCACGGCAGAGCGTGATATCAGCTCACAAATATTTAGGAGATGGAGAGGCTAATGAGGGGGAGGAATTATTTTCCTTCGTTATTAGAAGTAAAGAGAAACTTCAGGCTGAAGCTCAGCTGAATGGTCTTGACAGTAACAGCTGGTGCAGAGTGTCCTGGAAGCGCCAATCCGAACAGAGGTACTCCTAATGCAGCTGATGAAAACAGCATTGCTTTGCAAGAGTTGGGTTTTCATAGTGGCTGCCAGGTCAGCAGGACAAGTCAGGAGTGAATAGCCACACTTGATTCCGCCCTTTACCATTCGTCAAAATATTTTTTCTTACATGTGCTAGGAAGACTTGATATCTTTTTATTTACTTGTTTATGCTCGGACTTGTTCATAAATTTGAAAGAAGCTGAGTATGCAAAGGAAATGAGTATTCAAAAGCTTTCAAGCTTCCGTAGTGTGAAAGCAGGCCGAGCTGAAGTTTTGTTGCTGTTTTTGTTTTACTTGTTGGTCCTTTTCTGTAGTTCATTTTTATTTGGTTCACGGTAGACTCCACAAGCCACAGATTGGCACTTGCAGCCTAGAGGACGCCTGCTAGTAGTAGTTTCTGAAGACCTGAGTTTGAATTCTATCTCAAAAATTCATTTACTAAGTCCTCTGAGCAAGCTTTGCAACTGCCCTGAGCACCAGTTTTCTAAAATAAGGGGCAGTGACGCCACCGTGCTTAGAATGGTTGGGCTCTACTGGTTTCTTTGTTGGGAGTTTCACAAGGCTGAGGTCAAGGTGTGGCTGTCCTGGACTCCTCCCCAGAGGCTCTTGGGGAACATCCACTTCTGTGCTCACTCAGGGTTTTGGCAGAGTTCAGTTCCACACTGCCACGGTCTCTGCTGTCTTGCTGGTGGCCTGCAAGGATTTCAGCTTCTAAAGCTGTCTCATGGCCCCTTCATATTTAAACTAGCAAGTTTGGGCCAGGAAGTTGGCTCAGTAAAATAAGCACTTGTCTGGCAAACGCAAGGGCCTGAGTTCAATCCCCAGTTCCACCAAAAAAACCCAAAAAACAAAAACCAAAACTAGCAAGTTCTTCTCACATTTCCAATCTCTCTGACTGCCCTTCTGCTTTGTTTCTTCTGTCTCCAGCCAGAAAACATCTCTGTTTTAAAAACTTGTATGATTAGATTAGTCCAAAACCTTAGGCTAGGACAGGCCAAATAGCTCAGCAGATTAAAGCCCTGCAAGCAGGCACAGGAGTCAGAGGTTTCTTCCCCAGCCTGCTGTGCCAGCCCCGCCCCCAGGGTGTGCTGAGACAGCAATTGAGACTGGGTGTAGTGGCCCTTGCCTGTAGTCCCAGCTCTTGGGAGGCTGTAAACAGGTGAATCACTACGAGTCCAATCTAGTAGTGAGACCCTAAACACCCTGTAAACCCTTCCCTAAAATACAAAAAGAAAAAAACAACCCAAAACCTTAGGCTAGGGAGATTCTCAGTGGTACAGCCTTACGTGAGTTTCATTCCCCACACCCAAACAAAATCCATAACCTTAATTACAAATATAAAAGCCTTTTGGGTTGTGTAACATACAGGTCTAAGGATTGTGTAGTCATGGGGGGCATTCTGTCTATCATGGTGATGTTTGGCGGCCTGGAAAGGGGACTTCACAGAATGTAAGATGAGGTTCTTGCCCTGGAGGGATCCCAGAGTAGCAGAAAAGTGATCAGTCTGTATGCAGGAGTACGGAGCACCCTGTGTGCACCTGCTCGGCTTGCGGTTTTTCCTTCGTTCCCTGCTTGCTCTTGCTGGGTGTTGTGTTTCCTCAGGGTCTTTCAGATCAAATCCAGACCCCAAATGCCAGCAGGAGATTTGATTAAGCGCTGCCATGGCTCAGTATTTAGGACTCTTTAACACGAAAGGTTTTAGGCCCCCAGCACAGGGTAAAAAGAATTATTTCTTCCTTGTGATAATAAAGTAGAACAGCCCATTGTTCCTTCCCCCGCTTTTTTATGATCAAACCCCCTTGAGAGAACTCTTGTGCTTTAGCCCCAGCTTGCCCTACCATGTGTTTCTCTCCCTCCTCTTGAGTGTTCTGTTTCTAATTAGAAAGCACTTGTCTGGAGTAGTGCAGAGTTCCTGTTTAATTCCTGCCACTTGTCATTTCTGTTTTGATGTCACCTGGATGCTTGGTCAGGTGTGGCGGATAGTCCTGTAATAACAGTTGCCTTTTTAAGTACTTAGCTTGGGTCAGGTGCTGTGCAGAATGCTACACAATACTTGCATTTTCCTGCTAATGCAGACTTTTTGTAATAGGCAGGTACTACTTTTAATTTTCATTAGAACCTGGCTGATATTTGAGCCCCAGTCTAGAGCTTGTACCTAACACCACACACTAATGTCAGACTGGACTTAACAGTGAGAGCCAGCATGAAGGAGATAGAACAGCACCCATAGATTCCGGGAACCTAAATTTACAGCCCTTCCAAAAATTTTTGTCTTCATTTTTCAACCAGACATGAGCAGTGACTTCCACAGGCTGTGTTTCAGACAAGAGTGTAGCTCATGTCTATAAACTCAGACCCTACCAGGCTGGGGTGGGCACTGGTCTGTCAGACCCTATTTAAAATGTGTTGTGGTGTGCCATGTGCCTGGCCCTGTACACAGCCTGGCCCTTGCAGTCATACCTTCCCCATGGGGTTGGGATGATAGATACTTAAGGTTTTAAGGACAGCACCTGGCACTTTGTAGGCACTTGGTATGAGCTGGTTCTCATTATGCTAGAAGAGTTTAGTTACTTGCTCATGAGCAAGCCAGTAGACTCTTGTTCTCTCAATTCAGCTTGAATCTCAGTGTTCAGGAGAAGACATGAGATGCATTGCTGTGTTGGTCCCTGTCCAATTCTGTGAATCATACCAACGCACAAGTCTGAACTCAGTGAGGACTGGGATTTGAGGCCAAAGAAGGCAAAACATTCCCCTTTCCTGCTCTTGCTGAGTTCTTCAGTTAGGGGTGTAATGGAAACACAGTCATGGGTTCAAATCCGGGCTCCACACTTGCCTGCTCGGGGGGGTCTTGCCTATTCCTACCTTGGGAATCACAGAGAAAGGTAGACGGGGGTTCAGAACCCCACTTTTGCAGTCCTAGGCAGTTTCACTTAGCCCCTCACCCTTTCTGAGGCTGTCCCCCTTCCTTGTGAAATGAGGGAAGCAGCGGGCTTCTCTCGCAGAGCTGTTGCTAGTACAGTAGTGCATGTTATGAATGAGCAAGAAGCCCTATTTGGTTTATTTATCATTCTCCCTCTCCAGCAATCACGTGAGGCAGTTATGGGTGTCCTGCCCACAGGCCAGAGCAGGTATGAGGGGGAGGCTTGTTCCACCGCGGAGGTGCCAAGTACCACCTAGACCCAGCCCCACCGCCTTGCACCAGCGAAGCCCCTGGCGCCGAGCAGTGTTGCTTCAGCTGCTAGTAGTTAACGCTCATTCGCTTGGAAGCGGTTCAGCTCCTGGGAGCAATATGGTGCCACGCGGGTTCGCTGTTGCCCCCTGTCTTTCAGCAACTGGCATCTGCGTTCACCCGACGCCCAGCCCAATTCACCATACTTCAAGGGTCAGCAGGTTGGGGGCCCAGGGCCGGGGAGGGGGAAGGGGTGCGGGAAGAGGGCGGGGTTGGTGGAGGGCTGGGAATTTTCCGGGAAGGGGCCCTGCAGGGTCTTGGCTGGCAGCCGCCTTCAATAAGGCCCAGGACCCCAAGGTGGGAGAGAAAGGCTCATGCCAGACTGCTTCGGAATGCCGGAGGAAGAAGCTGGGCCTTGGGGCATTGGGTGGAAGAGGACTCTCTCCCAGGCCCCCTTCAGGTGCGGGCCTAATGGGGTCCAGTCCCACGGCAGAAGGGTGGAAATGTGCGGGCGTGCCACCCTCCAGGTCTCAGTGGGGGCGTGGTGCGCCCGGGCCGCGGGGCGGAGAGGGCCGTGCAGCGGCTCGGCCTGCCCGGGAAGTGGGGCCCAGCCCAATGCCGGAGGGTGCAGCCCCCCACCCCCCTCCACCCCCCGGTCCGGGGGAGCCCAGCGCCTGTGTCCGGAGGAGGCCGGCGTCCAGCAGATGCACGCGGGGGTGGCGGGCGGGGGAGAGGCGGGAGGAGAAACCCACATCAGAACTGGCTCCGAGCGAGCGCGGCTCCACTTGGATGGCAGGAGCCCGCGCCCGCGGAGCGCAGCCGGGACTCTGGGCAGCGGGTTCGGCCTGTGGGGCGCGACGCGGCGCCCGGCGCAGCAGGTACGGGACACGGGCGGGCGCAGGCTGGGGCTGCTCACACTGCCCGCCACCTCCGCACGGTCCGGGGCTGCCCGAGTGGAGCCCCGCGTCTCCCTGCAGTCGGATTGCACTGAGGGCGCGGCAGGAGATCTCCCCTGGGGGGTGGCACCCCGGTACCAGGAGGACCGGTGCGGGGTCCCTTCCTCCTCTCTGGCCCAGGCCGGTCCCAGCCCCCAGGATCCCCTCCCCCGCTGTGCACTTGTGAGGAGAATCTGAGCAGGCTGGGGGGCAAGTGGTGGGGTGCGGGCTGGCAGCAGGGAAGGAGGGCAGGTGGGCCTGGGAAGAGGTGTGGACCCTTGTACTTGGAGCCCGGGCGCAGAGTATCACTGCGCCTTCCCAGTCAGTTCATCATGGCCTCCATGGAGGCCAGCCTCAGACGTCTGCCCAGGGAAAGTGCAGCCCAAGACTTACCCCCGAGAGCGTGAACAGGTGAGGCGACTCGCCTCAGCCTCCGGTCTGCTCTACACAGAGCCCACCCCAGAGCCAAGCGCTCGGGCAACCACAGCGCTCAGCTGTCAGCCTGGAGTCGCTCTGCCTGTCTAGGGGGCTGCTTCCCAGCCAGGACAGAGGGCAGGCAAAGGGAGAGGGGAAGGCAGGAAGCCAGGTTTGCCCTCTCCCACTAAAGTAGTAGAAGCTCAGGTTGTGGGTTCCCAAGCCCCTAGCCTGGAGCTAGGGGCAGGGGTGGGGGCGAGCTCCGGGCTGGAATACCTATGGTGCTGTTAGGTGGAAGAGGGGTGGTGGGGGCTGGGGCTGGGGCTGGGGCTAGGAGGCCGCTGGAGAGAAGCAGCTGGCAAGGAAGGAGCCTGGGAAATCCGAGCGGCTGCAGAAGGTGAAGCCGAGGTCTGCCTTGCTCCAGGAGGTATGAACTTGGAGAGTCCCTGTATGGCCCTGTTCTCACCCTCTTCTATGGCAACTTTCACTCTGGGAAGTCAGGAAGATCCGGGCAGGCAGAAAGGCCTTCCACGGGCAAGAGCTCCAGCCAGTGACTGCTCTGGGGGTGTTGGCCCCTGTGTCAATTCTTCGGGTTCAGGGCCCAGACTGCTTCTAGCCTAGAGTGCAAGTTGAGAAGCGTAAGACTCACATGACTGTTTTCACACACTCTTGGGGAAGGGCGGTTTGTCCCTGCTGTTGGAATCCTGGGTAGTGTTGCTCCCTGGGACCTTTAGGCCAGGTTGCGCACACCTGCTCAGAGCCCCTGATGGCTCCCCTTCACCAACGCTTCTACCCTGTGGCCAATGCCCTTGGCAGACGGTGCTGCCAGCTCCAACTCCTATCCCCTGTTCTCCCTCCTTAAACATCCCCCCTTCCTTATTCACCCTGGGGCCTCTTCAAGCTGCCTGGCATGCCTTTCCTCCCCCTCAACTTGAAGATCTACACAGCCTTCAAGACCAGTTCAGGGCTCTAGGGAGAAGACCAATCTGAGGAGTCAGGCCAGATTCCAGTGCAAATCTTTTCCAACTCTGCCTTTCACAACTTCATTCATTCAGCAAACATATCCTGAGTACCTGCTCCATGCCTGGAAGTTAGGGATGGCTCCGTGGAGCCTGGAGGATGCAGCAGGGGTGGGGCAGTGGGAGCATCAAGGAGTAGGAAAGGCTCCTCAGAGCTGGGGTGCCCGAAATTTCTGGGGACAGGCAGCTGGTGTGGGGGTAGGGCTCTGTATTGTGTTCTGAACCTACAAGGGGGGAAGAGACTTTTAATCTTGGGATTTCTACTGGCATCAACAATATGTAGTGGTGTGTGGCCTACCTCAGGGGGGCATCAGTGAATTCTTCCTGAATTTGAGGAGAAAAGTAGTGCTGGGGACTGAGGGTCTGCTCCTTAATCTGGGTTTCCTGGCCTCTTTCCAGTCCTGCCCCAGCCCCCCCCATGGGGGGTCCTGATTACTTTCTCAGTAATGCTAACCCTGAGTATGGTACACCTGCTTGTGGCCGGCACCAGGCTGGGCCCACCTTTTCATTCTTGAATCCTGTGAGCAGCCCACTCCATTCCTAACTGGTGAACAGAGGCTCCTGAAGTGGAGCAACTCCACCCTCCAGGCTTATACAGAAAGCGGAATCGGAGCCCAGCTCTCCTCCTGAGGAGAGGTCACTGCAGACTTAGCTGCCCCTCGGTCCCCAGGGCTTGGGTCATGCTCCTTCAGGGGTCTGCTTCTCTGCTTACCTTAGGTCTGGATGCACAGAAGCTATCTGGGAGCTTATCTTGCTCTACTGTCTTACAAGAGCAAAAGGAAAATTAAGACTCGGATGGGACAGTGGTATGGCCAAGGTCACACAGCAAAGCACATAAGGAGAGCTGGGGCTGCCCCCTACGGTTCTGACCATGTCTGGGAAAGCTAGGGGACAGGGAGGAGCCCCTGGGGCTACCACTCCCTGGAACCTAGTCTCACCTCTTCTTCCCAGCACCTCTCTCTGCCCGGAGCAAGCTCATTATTCCTCACCTGTGAGTCTATCTGCTACACTCCTACCTGCTCCTCAGGGGCTCATTTCCTGAGATGGGGCTGACCATCTCTGGCCTTGCATGGCCTGAGTTTGTGACTGCTGTGTCTGCTCTTATTCTTCCCCATCCCCAATGCCACCAGCCAGTCTAGTGTGCTTCCTACAGCTCACAACATGGACTCTCTTGCCCCAAGCCGTGCACTCTGACACCCCCCAATCTACCCCACCTCCACCTCCCACTGCTGGAATCTCCTGGGCACCTGTGCTCCAGGATCTTGTAATTAACAGGTCACGCCTACTTCCCCTGCCAGTTTGCCATGCCCTAATCTCCTAAGGCACCCCTGCTTGTATTACCCTTCTTTTGCCAAAACCCAGCCTTCAGGGAGGCTAGACCAAGCTTCCCCTCTCCTGGAAAGCCACCTCTTCCAAGAGGAGGTGGCCTTGGGCCCTCAGCTTCCCTCCATCATAACTCTGATGACCCTGAGATTATCAGACTCAGTTTACACCTAATGCTATAGACAACAACCATCTAACAAGTCTAAGGTGAGCTACAGGTGCAGTGTAAACATTTCTGAAAGTCACATTTAAAAGAGGAAGATGAAACAGGTAAACTTAACAAATATACCTGCTGCATTATCCAGTAATTAATATAGAAATAAATGAAAATTGTTTTATCATTAATATTAATTAGGTATTTTATATTCTTTTCTGTACAATGTCTTTGAAGTCCATAAACATTACAGTGTATACTCACAGCACTTCTTAGTTTGAACTAGTCGCACTTCAGTTGCCCTATAGCCATGTAGGCCAAAATGCACCGTCTGTTGAGGCCAGAGCCCATCTCTGTCCCCAGATCCCAGCCATGCTTGGTTCAGGCAAGAGCAACATAAGATGGTGCTGAAGACCTAGGCTGGGGCTCAGCTTGGCCACTTACCTGCGGAGACATTGGCTGATCACAGCAGGCCTCGGCTCCCTGAGCTCTGGTGTAAGCACACATCTTCAGTACAGTTCAGTCTACAAACTGAAGACGAGAGGAGGACCAGCCTGGATAGTGAGTGCTCATGATATGTGGGCACCTATACTGTTTCTTCCCAGTTCTGCTCCCTAGCCTCCTGCCCTGAGAGAGCTTGGGACCTGGACCTGTGCTCATACTTCTGTCTAGAGTGGGGGAAAAGAGGGAAAAGCCTTGCTGTGGTCCAAGCCTGGAGAGCCAGGTATAGGGCCCGTAATGTGCTATGGGCATGATGCTCTGTAGACTGGCACTTGGGGGACTGGGGCAGCAGCGGTGTGGAGAGCCAGGCTGCTGTGGGTATCCTTTGCTGCTGCCTGATGTCTGGAGTCCAGGAGCTGTGTGCCAGGGTGGGGGTCCAAGCCTGTTTAGGCCATAACGACTTGTTGGATCAAGGAGGCCTGGCTCCCACTCCCTCTTCTCCTCAGACCTTGTCTCTATGGGGCCTCGTACTCCTAGGGACCCCTTTACACTTCCACCTTCTAGAAAGAAGGGGTGGAGGTTTATCTCCCTCCGAGCACAGGGCTAAGGACAGACAGGGCCTCAATTTGAAGACTTGGCTGACCCACAAGACAGATCCACAACACAGCATCTGAAATAGCTGCAGGAACCCCAGGCTGCAAGTGCATCTGTAGTGTGTTTGGGAGCAGGTGGGCCCAAGTTGAAAAGCCCAAGTGGGGTCTGGACAAGAGAAGGGGGAGAAGCAGGGAGCCTGGGCTGGGGAATGGTGTGGTCAGGAGGTAGATAATGTTTACTGAGCATTCAGTGTGTGAGTATATGCATCCTACTTGAGTCCTCGTTTCCCCAGGAGGACATTTCTGTTTCCATCCCGAGGACAGAGGAAAAGCTGAAGTTAAGGGTGTTTCAGACTTGCCACAAGTCACATAGCTGATAAGAGCCACAGTGATATCATAGCCCTGTCCATGCAGTTTCAGGACATATCCTCCTGCCATGACAGTGGTGTCTTGTCAAGTTCTATTTCTTAACAGAAACAGGCTCTGGTCATACCTTCTAGGTGCTGTATGGGTTCTGGTTCCCAAGCTAGTAGGAAGGCTCAACCTAGACTGTGTGCTGTGTTCCACAGTAGACACCCCTGAGCCCTCACATCCACTCACCAAATGGAGTACGTCACTGTTCAGTCATGACAGCAGCCACGGCAGCTCCTTGCCACCTAGTGGGTACCAGGTGCTTTGAGCCTGTACCTTATTGGCTTCTCAGAAAAGTGTGAGTTTAGACAGAGTGTCAATATGTAGATGGGGAGGTTGAGGCTCAGCAAGGTCAAAGCTGCCATGTGGTGGAAGTGGGACTCAAACTGCACTGTAGGACCTCAGAGTCCCTCTGTGCCACATCCCAGAAATGTTGTCTAAGTCCCTGGAACAAGAACTCAAGTGCCCAATCCTGAGCCAAGCCCAGGCCCATGGGAAGTCTGGGACAATGTCTTCCTAACATCTTCCTCAGGTGACTCCTTCCTCTTGCAGTAGCTAGGGACTGTGCTAGGGAGGGGCCTCCTGCAGGTGGCAGCTGTCCTGTGAACACATTAGGTCCCTGGAGGACAGCTGAGCATGTAAACACCAGGAATGGGATGTTAAGGGTCTCGGGGTCCTCTTCTGCCAGTCTGTGCTTGGCCTATGCCCAGATACCAAAAGTGCTCACAGCTCTGGGTGAGGAGGACCCCTCTAAGCATTCATAGTCCAATGAACACTGAGCTCTGAGCCATCTCAGGTCCTTGCCTGTGTCAGACCCCTGAGATGGCTCCTGGAAAAGATGCTGCAGATTGCATACAAGAGTGGAAGAAGGACAGAAGGAGCAGCCTGTGCCAAGGCTCGGAGGAAAGACTCACTCACTGTCCTATAAAATGGGGCTGCTAAGAGAGGACAGTTGGCAGCCTACGGATTCCAGCGTGGCAAGCTGAAGTGCTGGGACACAGCTGCTGATGCTGACACCCCCCCCCCCCCGGTCTGTGAGTGCTGGAGGAGAGACAAGGATTCCCTGCACTCCTATACCAGGGCACAAGAGCTCAGCCTGGTCCAAGTCCTACCTCAGTTTCCCCTTCTGTGAAACACGGGTATAGATTCGGTGGGACCCAGTCTGGAGAGGGTTGTGGAAGGTTCTGCAGACTAAAGACTAGGTTTCACCCCACCCTCCGGAGGGCAGTTCTGATGGGGGGACACGGAGGACAGAGATCAGCAGGCAGCAGGGTACCAAGGGTGGGGTCCAGAGTGTGTGTTGCCTGTGTCCACAGGACTTGTCATGACTTTTGGGGACCCTAGTCATATGTTGTTTTCCTAACAAGTGAAGTTGGCCCTGGTTCCAGGGAGACCTGACTGGAGCTTCCTGCAGGCACCATGGCCTGGAGCAGGGTGCTGCTGCTGCTCTTGCTGCTGCCCCTGCAGTTGTGCCCGGGACCCGTGATCACTGTGAGGCCCCCAGGATTTGGCCAGAGTGGTGCCCGTAGCCCACACCCTGAGGAGAATGACTTTGTGGAGGAGGAGCCTGTGCTGGTCCTGAGCCCTGAGGAGCCAAGGCCTGACCCTGCCACCATCAACTGCCCCCGGGACTGCGCCTGCTCCCAGGAGGGGGTCGTGGACTGTGGCGGCATCGACCTGCGTGAGTTCCCAGGGGACCTACCTGAGCACACCAATCACCTGTCCCTGCAGGTGAGGCTGATGTTGTGCCAGCGGTCACCAGGGGCTGCTCACTGCACTTGAGGCTCCCTTCCCAGAACCCTCCCTGCTCAGCTGGAGCCTCCAGGACTTGAGACCCTTCGTCCCCATGTCAGGGTGTTGAGCAGGGGAGTCCTGCTTGAAATCTGGCCACAGAGTGCTGTGACAGCATAGTCTGCTTATTCACGAGGGGTTGTGGGCAGTTTGATGATGGACATTGAAGGGCCTGCTGGCAACTGATTCCTCTGTCTTAACATACAAAGTACAGACCCAGGAAAATCAGAGCTAACCAACTGACTTAAGCACATGGGGGCTTCTGTTCTTTTAAAAGAACCCTCCCCTCAAGAAGTGGGCCTGGCCTCCCAGACTGGGTGAACTATGGGGCACCTGTGGCAGTAGTCCTCAAAGTCCTTGGGGACAGAATGAGCCTGCCATACCCTTCCCAGAGGAGATCAGGACCAGTAAGCCTCCAAAGGTCACTCAGCACTGGCTGAGAGCCTGGGCTAGGTTGGCCCATGAGAGGAAGGGTGAGCTGAGGACAGCTGTGATGAAGTTCATTGTCCCACGTATTCATACACAGCCTGTCTCCTGGACACCTGCCCAATGCCTCTGGTCCTGTGTGGGGTGCTGGGGATGTAGGCAGGACTTGGACACACCCTGCCCATCAGGAGCTTCCAGCCTGTGGGTATCCACGTGTGGACTCCTTGAAGGTAGGACTCAGATTATTGTGGCCACTGCTGTGCCCCTAGTACCCAGAGCCTGACTATCTTGGGGAAGAATCTCAAGGCAGGTACACAAGATAGGGACAAGTTGCTAGGACTGGTGCTGAAGGTAGATGCACCCCTCCTGCCTCCCACTGATGCTGCTTCCTCATTGCTGTAGAACAACCAGCTGGAGAAGATCTACCCTGAGGAACTCTCCCGGCTGCAGTGGTTGGAGACTCTGAACCTCCAGAATAATCGCCTGACTTCCCGAGGTGAGAGGTCGCCAGAGGCAGGGGACACCAGGTAGAGACTTTGGGGCGCCTGTAAGGGGACCCTTGGCTGTGGATCCTGGAGTGTGGAAAAAGCAGGCTGGGCTGGCTGGCCCCAGGGCTGCAGGAGGAATGGCTCTACAGCAGCAGGGGTTCCCTGAGGCTGTCCTTAGCCAGCCCTGAGTATCCTGAGACCTTACAATACAGTCCGAGTCACAGGGGCTTTAGAATCTGACAGCTGGAGGCCTCAACTTGATTTTTTTTTTTTTCTGATGGCAAAAATAGTATATTATTAAGGTAGAAAATTAGGAGAATAAAATGGAAAGAAAAAACTCATAGCTGCCATTTTGAATTAACCACCATTGACATTTTAGTATACTTCTTTCCACTTTTTAGAAAAAGCAGCTTTACTGAGAAGTAATTAATATTACAATTTGATGAGTTCTAGTAAGTTTATAGTTATACAACCACCTTCATGACAATTCAACCCAGTCATGTTTTCTTAGTAGTTTTACATTCATAGCTAAACTCATCCCCAGCTGGACACCCTACATAGTTTCACTACGCAGTTCACTCCTGGTGTCTCCTATGTTGCGAAAGCTCTCACTGGCTGTCATTTTATACCCGCAGCAGGGTAGCCAATGTAGCAATGCTCAAGGTTTATATAACTGTTCCCTCTTCTTAGAAACTTGGGTGGGTCCCAGCATCTGGGGGTCCAGAAGCCCAGAACTGAGTGTCAGAGGCCACTTCATCTTTGGAGAGGGGCCATCCTGGCTGGACTCCCAGGAATGTGACATCTATCAGAAGGGCCAGGGCCTAGCCAGGTGGTGGGGAGACCCAGCGTGGCCCCACCCACCTGTGGATGGGGCTGGGGCTGGGATGAGGAGGAGCTCTGACCCCTGTGACAACTCTCAGGAGAGCATTCCTTCCGGGCAGGAGGGTTGCTCAGTCCTGCAGCAACATTTAGCTGCTTGTGCCTGTGCGTGGGCCACTGCTCCAAGGAGAAGGAATGTGGGGCTGGACAGGGCCATCTGGACCAACTGGGAAGGGGTCCCAGCTGCCCCTGCCTGCTCCTCTTGGGTGGGGGTGGGGCGGCTCTTGTGCTCCCCTATAGCGTCTCCTTCATCCAGGGCTCTGACCTGTCCTTTGAAGGGCTCCCCGAGGAGGCGTTTGAGCACCTGACCAACCTCAATTACCTGTACCTGGCCAATAACAAGGTGAGGGCTGCAGAAGGTGGAGGGTGCTGCCCTGTGCCCCTGGCCATCTTCCCCAGAACTCTGTGGTCTTTTCCCACTCTTTCTGGTCTGTCAGGTGCTTGCTGCTGCTCAGACATGACCCTGGGAGACGGGGAAGGAGTCACAGACTTCACCTCCGTAGCCCAGGGAGATAAGGCCAAGTCCTGCCTTAGCATAGGGAGTGCTTCTTGGAGGAGATGGCACTTGGGCAAGGCAGTGAACTCAGATTCTCGCTCATTGCAGGGACCCTCAGAGGGCACTGCAGTACAAGGGACAGGTGCCAGGCTCAGTAGCATGCTCAGTAGTCCCAGCATGAGGGAGGCTGAAGTAGGAGGATCACTTGCCTCCAGGAATTCAAGACAAGCCAGGCAGCATAGCAAGAACTCGTCCTGAATGAAGGAACGAATGAATCAGGGAGACCAGAATGAAGCTTAAAATCACCTAAGCTCCAAATATTTGTGGGTCCCAAAGCCCCATTCCAGCCTCGTCTCTGAATGCTCCCAAAGTGCCCACCAGCCTTGGAGCCCACGAGCACCATGGCCACATCTGAGGAAGTTTCTACCCTGCCCACTCCTTAGGTTGAGATGCAAAGATCCACCTGCCCTCTTGACATCTGCCCTAAGCATCTGTGGAAGTGATGCCTCTGCATCCTGCTTGCAGCCCTGAAGCCCCCAGTTTCCCCTCAGAGAGGGCACCTCCACCACACATAGTACCGCTTATGTGAGCCACAAATCGGGAGCCTCCTTCACCATGTCCAGCCCTTTGACTGCCCACAGGCACAGGTCCACTGCCCACCCCCTATTGCCCCTCTGCCTCATGTTCTCCCCTTTCTCCTCAGTGAAGCCAAGGAGACCTTTAAGTCAGGCCCTGGTTATCCCCTCTACTCCCCACCCCACCCCAGGACACGCCAGGAAGGTGGGAAGCAGATGCAGAGAGGCTTTCCAGCTGAGCAGAGGGCCAGGAGCTGGAGATGGGTTCGCTCCACCAGGGGTTGGGGGGAGGTTTCCATTTAAGTAAGGTGGTCTGGTTGCTGGAAAGAGAGAAGTGAAGGGGTGCAGAGGAGCAGCCAGCAGTGCGCTACAGCATGGGCCTCTTTCCTTCATTGGTTTTCACACCTGACTCCTCCCTTCCCAGCTGACGTTGGCACCCCGGTTCCTGCCAAATGCCCTGATCAGTGTGGATTTCGCTGCCAATTATCTCACCAAGATCTATGGGCTCACCTTTGGTCAGAAGCCAAATCTGAGGTCAGAGGAATGGTCCTGGGCTTGGTGGGCAAGGAGAAGGGGCTGAGACAGAGCCGCCCCTCCTACGGGAGCACAGACAAGCCACCAGGCAGGGCTTGCTATGTGGTGGGGTGACAAGGTCCAGGGCTCTGGTAGAGGGGCACCCAGGCTCAGGATGAGCTCAAGACCTTAGGAGACTGAGGCCTGAAAGGCGAGAGTGAAGAGTTTTTTGTGTGGGAATTGTGGGGTAGGGGTTGGGCTGGGGTCACAGAGTCCCCTCCAGCAGGCGGAACTGCCCTTCCCTGGGCCTGGTATGGAGGACCCTGGGGATGGGGGTCAGGAGCTCCTACTTCTGCCACTAGCTTGTGGAGTGACTTCCAGTGGAGCACTGACCTGGTCACTGGTTCCTGGGCTGTGCAGATCGGAGGCTCTTTGACACTCAGACCTGGAGTTAAGATGGGAGGAGAGAGTCGTGGGCCCCAGTCTCAGCCTGAGGAAAGGTTTATGGGGTCCCTAGAATCTGGCCCAGGGGCTAGGGGGAGCCAAGGTGGATGAGAATCTGTGCCTCAACCCCAGATCTGTGTACCTGCACAACAACAAGCTGGCGGATGCTGGGCTGCCGGACAGCATGTTCAACGGCTCCAGCAACGTCGAGATCCTCATCCTGTCCAGCAACTTCCTGCGCCATGTGCCCAAGCACCTGCCTCCAGCCCTGTACAAGCTGCACCTCAAGGTGGGGAGGGATGTAGCAGGGACAGAGCAGAGCAGACCCCATGGCTAGGGGACAAGGGCAGGGACCTGCAGGGGGAGGAAACCAACCCACACAGGCACAGTGTTGCCAAGTGAGGCTGTGATACTGTGGCCACGTGACAGATCCCAGGCCTACCGTGAGGACACAGGCTGGAGACCAGGCACGAAGCTCCAGGTCCGAGTCCCTCTCAGGCCGATCTCCACACCTCACCCTGAGGCCCTGCTCCTGCCCCTTGCCTCTCCTTCACACTCTGTTCCCTGCTTTTCCACCCGTAGAACAATAAGCTCGAGAAGATCCCACCTGGGGCCTTCAGCGAGCTGAGCAACCTGCGCGAGCTGTACCTACAGAACAACTACCTAACCGACGAGGGCTTGGACAATGAGACCTTCTGGTGGGTGGGTCCTCACCTCCCCTGGCCTCAGTGTCACCATGGCACTTGGCAAGCTCCTTCTAGGGCCTCCCCAGCCAGCCACGGCCACACATCCCCCCCAACTCCCCTGGCCATTATTCCCTGGAAGACCTTTGAAGCTCAAGCTTCTGTTGACATTTCTGTCTCCAGGAGCAGGTGGCTGCTGAGGTGGCAGGAAGTCAGGTACTGCTGAAGGAGACTGGATCCTTGGTACAAAACACAAGCCCAAGCATTCTTGCTAAGGGCAACTATGTTTCCATTTTGGGGGCCCAACAGCCACAAAAGGTTCACTGGAAGAATGGTGGTCCTCAAATACATCCCCATGAGTCAGAAATGATGCAGAATCCTTCCTACACTAATGTATAAAGTATGATTCAAAACCAGTTAATGTTTAAATTTTTAAAAATTTATCAAAGTATGAGATGCATTGTAATTGATCCTCCTCAAAATATCCCCCTCACTTCAAACCCACTTATCCCACCATTCTTGCCACTTTCTGAAGGAGTTCTAGAGTTCCTCTTTCCTGTGTGTCTTCAGTTATGCTGTCGGCTGCCTCGGTGTCCAGGACGGACTAAAAATCTTAAACTTTTGTGGTCATTTTGACTTTGGGAAAGACCAGAAGTCACATAGCTCCAGACCCAGTGAATAAGGTAGCTGAGGACATGCGTTCATGTCTTTGTGAGACTGCCTGTGTGTTGGACAACACTTGGCAGCGGCATTCACTGTAGTTTTGATCACATCCCTTAAAGACACAAAAAAGACTTCCAACTGCTGCAGAGAGTGGCAAGAATGCTGGAATAAGTGTGCTGAGGGTGGTCGATGACAATGTGGTTTTTTTACCATAATATAATTTTTATAATTTAAAATTCACTATATCTTTTGGCCACATTGCATATCACTGAGTCCACCCAGAGGGAGGCTCTCAGAGGACCAAGGCCCCCAGGTGAGGAGTGGCAGAGCTCCGTGATTTCCAGGGAGCCTCTACCATTTCCCTTGGGAATTGGGTGGGAGCAGCAGATGTGGGCTCTGCCCAGTGTCCTGACCCAATCCCCCAACCACCCCAGGAAGCTCTCCAGTCTGGAGTACCTGGATCTGTCCAGCAACAACTTGTCACGGGTCCCCGTGGGCCTGCCACGTAGCCTGGTCTTGCTGCATCTGGAGAAGAACGCCATCAGGAGGGTGGACCCAGATGTGCTGACCCCCATCCGCAGCCTTGAGTACCTGCTGCTGCACAGCAACCAGCTGCGGGCCGATGGCATACACCCACTGGCCTTCCAGGGCCTCAAGCGGCTGCACACAGTGCACCTGTACAACAATGCACTGGAGCGGGTCCCTAGTGGCCTGCCCCGCCGTGTGCGCACACTCATGATCCTGCACAACCAGATCACAGGCATTGGCCGTGAGGACTTTGCCACCACATACTTCCTGGAGGAGCTTAACCTCAGCTACAACCGCATCACCAGCCTGCAGGTGCACCGCGATGCCTTCCGCAAGCTGCGTCTACTGCGCTCGCTTGACCTGTCCGGTAACCGCCTGCACACGCTGCCCCCCGGATTGCCCCGCAATGTGCACGTGCTGAAGGTCAAGCGCAATGAGCTGGCTGCCCTGGCGCGTGGGGCACTGGCGGGCATGGCCCAGCTGCGAGAGCTCTACCTCACCAGCAACCACCTGCGCAGCCGTGCCCTGGGCCCCCGTGCTTGGGCAGACCTCGCCCAACTGCAGGTAAAGGGTGCTTGTTAGCCTGTGATGCTACTGCTGGGCTCTCCTGAGCCCACTCATCTCTTAGGACCAGATAAGGGCTGGGCATGGAGGAGGTTTCTCTGGTAACTTCAGGCTGGGCTCTCGTGGCTCATGTGAGCCCAGACCCTGCAAATGCAGAAGTGAAGGGAGATTTCACAAGTGTCTGACTGGTACTGCCAGGCCAGGCTCCCCACAGGCAGATGCAGGCTTGAGAAGAGGTGTGGCAGTAAGAGGTCAAAGCTTCAGGGAGGGGCCTATGGTTCAGGATGACTGGAGAACACTCCAGGGATGCGGCATGAGAGAGTCAAGCTTACCCACCTGCAAGATAGGTGCCTCAGCCCTTCTGCTGCCTGACCAAAGCCACCTTTCACAGCAGACCTAATGCAGGCTCAGGGCCTCTGAATTTCTGTGCCCTCTACCCCAGGCATCCTCAAGGCTTCCTCTGTCTTTCTGAGGGTCTTCTTGGTACTGTCTCTGTGGGAGTCTTTCTCTGCTTTGTTTTTCTTCATGAGCCTCATTTCTCCAGGCTTAGGTCATCGTGCTTGGTGCTGCCTGCTCCTCAGTGAGGACAGTGATGTGTCCACTGTGTCCGTGGCTATCTGTGGCAGGCTCATGGCCACTGCACATGGAGGGATGACAGGAAGAGGCAGAAGTGCTGGCAGGACCAGGATGTCCGCATAGAGTATGGGATGTGGGTGGGCGAGGCAGCTGATCCTGCAGGTTAGCGAGGGTCTCTCCTCACCCAGATGGCCTTGCCAAAACCAGGAGCCAGCTACTTGTGCCGCCCCTGGGCTGTTGCTCAGGTGCTAGGTCTTGAAAGCCCAGAGCCTCCTGTTTTCTCCTCCACACCTGCCCCTCTTACTGCATTTTTTAATTCACTGAGGGACAGGGTGGCATCAGGGAACCCTGGAAGCTGCCTGTTGACAGTCATCTGCCTCTAGTGACTCCCCAGCACCTGACCCCACTGTGCAGCCTCAACACCTCTTTGTCTCTTCTCCAGCCTGCTCTCCACACCCCAGACCAAGCTACCCATTTCTTGCATGGACCCTAGCTTCCTAGGAGCTTGGCATCCTGGTAGTTCTGTGCCATCAAGGCAATCTGGACAACCACATGCCCTTTCATACTCACGCCCTGATTCCTTGTCTCCATGCCACAGCTGTCAAGGCCTGCTCTGTCACTGCAAGTGCCTCTTCTGCAGGAGGTACCTCTCCCTTGTTCACTGCAGACTCCTGCTCACTTATTTACTCCATTATTCTAGACCCAGCCCCACCACATCACAGACATAGTTCAGAAGTGGGAATCCATGGGGACTTAGACAGATGGAGGGCTACTACCCTGCCACTCGATTCAACATCACCTTTTTCTTTACTAACAATGGGCAGGTTGGTCACCTCCCTGGGCCTGGGAGAGTTCAGCTGGGGATGCCTGGAAGAAGGGGATTCTTCCTCCTACTGTGGCTCTGTTCACAAGCAGCTGTTCCTGCTGCCTCAGAGCAGTCCTGTGCTGTGTTGCAGCTAACTCTACCTTCTTGTCCTCATCATTCTGTTTTCCTGAGGTGTAGATATGTCTCAGTGGAGCCCATGTCCCTCGTACAGAAGGATGTGTGGAATGCAGGAGGAAGTGCTCACTGGAGATGCTGGGGGATGCAGGGGACAGCAGGGAGCCCGATTTAAGGGAGGTTACAGGGAGGCCCCCTAAAGTGCATCAAGGTTTGCTTCCCTCAGGCCTAAGGCCCATCTTGCCCAGCTATCCAGTTTCTGTGCCCCACCTTCCCCAATCCAAAGCCTAAAGGAGCTAGGGGACCACAGACTGTGTCTACCTAGTCCTGTGCCACTGCAGGTGTGTTCTGCTCCACATAGCCCAATCCACTCCCTGGTTGTGGGCTCCTGGGTTCCAGGTGCATGGTGGCTCTGAGCTGACCACCTTGGGGCCTGGCCGTTGTGCCAGGTTCATTGCAGGCTTCATGTCCTCATTCCTGACCCGTGCACATGTGGCCCTTGAGGTCTGTAAATGAGCGGTCTCCTCAGCCCCATGCACTTCTTTCCACTCTGACTCAGGTTCAATAGGACAACATCAAAAGCTAGAAGATGCCCACTCTCTGGCTGTATTAGGTCTTTGTCTGATGGATGTGACAGGTGTGTGAAGGCAGGACTGTGACATCCAAACTGTATGTGTGAAGGCACAAGGGGCTGGGGAGGACCTATATCCATCATGATAAAGATTTGGACTCAGGCCCACCAGCTTCCATCTTCTTACAGGAACTCTTTAGACTCCCCTCCTCAGCAGGGTTCTCTGATTTGTAAGCTTTGCAGAGGCAAGAGTCCCTGACTCCCCTGCTCCCCCCTGCAGCTGCTGGATATTGCTGGGAATCAGCTCACAGAGATCCCCGAAGGGCTCCCGGAGTCGCTTGAGTACTTGTACCTGCAGAACAACAAGATTAGCACCGTGCCTGCCAATGCCTTTGACTCCACGCCTAACCTCAAGGGGATCTTTCTCAGGTAGGAAGTCCCTCTGGGGCCTCCATGCATGCCAGTGGGTCCTTCCCAGCGCCAGTGGGACAGTCAAGGCCACAGGAACAGCTTGTGGGCAGAGGCCTGGCTCTGCTGCTGACTGGCTATGGGACTGTGTAACAGAATATGTCAGCTTCTGCTGTCTCAGCCTTCAAAGATGGGAACGGCCCTGGCCAGGCCTGGTGTGGTTTGTTGATTTGTAAATGAGTCTCAGCAACTTTGAGAAGCAATGCATTTGGGCAGTATTGATGCCAGTGTGGCAGGAAGGGACCTCAGGGAACACCTTCCCCTTTTACAGCTGGGAAAACTAAGGCCCAGAGAGCACCCTCCAGGGTGGGGGCGGGCGGTGGAAATGAGTTAGAGGTCCCAGCTCCCAGGGACATGGGCACTTCCATCAGAGCCAGCATGGTTCTTTCCAGCACTCCCTGTACCCACCACATTAGCAGACATAACAGCACAGCAGAAGGCCCATGCTTGGGAACACGGGCTGGTGTGATATGCGCTCAGGCCTCTGGGGCACCTGACAGCAGAGCCACGGCCTCTGCCATCCCTCACCTGAGCATGTCCCCCGCTTGGCTCAGCTCTGGCCTTGCCTGAGCACCACCCAATGCCTTGAAGTCAGTGCCTGAGAGGAGGCAAAAAGGAGGCTCCTGTGCCTGCCACTCCTGAAATGCTCTGAGAGAGTACATGCAGAAGGAGGCTTCCTTGCGTTTAGAGCCAACCAGCCCAGAGCCCTGCCCTGCTCCCGAGCTGCTGTTGCTACCTGGAACAGCTTGCACTTTCCACCTTGCGCCATGCTTCTGCACCCTGCCTTTTCATCCTGCTGTGTCTTGGCTTCCTCCTGTTAGCTAGCAAGGTGGGTAGGCACGGGCGCCTCCCTAGGCTGGGCTCCTGCACTGACACTGGTTTGCATGGCTGCCCAGGTTTAACAAGCTGGCTGTGGGCTCTGTGGTGGAAAGTGCCTTCCGGAGGCTGAAGCACCTTCAGGTCTTAGACATCGAAGGCACCATAGAGTTTGGTGATACTTCCAAGGACCGTGGCCACTCGGAAAAAGAGGAGGAGGAGGAAGAGGAAGAGGAGGATGAAGAGGAAGAGGAAAGATAGTGACAGACCTGACCTAGGTGGGTGGTCTCTGTGGGGATGGCGTTCACTGTTCCTTACCACCATCTTGCCCCTGACCCATTTAGGGTCTTTTAGTCTGTTCTTCACCCTTCTCCTCTTTGTCCCTTCATTCTGCAATCTCCTGTGCTAGTTTTTCATGTGGGAGGCACCTGGCCCTGGGAGAGGGATTGAAATGGACCAGCTTCCCTGGAGGCTGCATGTGCCAGGGGATTCTCATCCAGGGGAAGTGTGCTGCCACAAGAGCCAGCTTGGGGCGGGGGGCCTATGGGCCAGGTTCTCAAGAGCTGGGGGGGGCTATGGACCAGGTTCTCAGGAGCTGGGGGGGGCCTATGGGCCAGGTTCTCAGGAGCTGGGGGGGGCCTATGGGCCAGGTTCTCAGGGGCTGGGGGGGGCCTATAGGCCAGGTTATCAGGAGCTGGGGGGGGCCTATGGGCCAGGTTCTCAGGGGCTGGGG